CCTCTTACTTCATGTCTCTTCTACATCAACATGTGTCCCCTCTTCTTAATGTCTCTTCTACATCAACACGTGTCCCCTCTTCTTCATGTCTCTTCTACATCAACATGTGTCCCTTCTTCTTCATGTCTCTTCTACATCAACATGTGTCCCCTCTTCTTCATGTCTCTTCTACATCAACATGTGTCCCCCTCTTCTTCATGTCTCTTCTACATCAACATGTGTCCCCTCTTCTTCATGTCTCTTCTACATCAACATGTGTCCCCTCTTCTTCATGTCTCTTCTACATCAACATGTGTCCCCCTCTTCTTCATGTCTCTTCTACAATCAACATGTGTCCCCTCTTCTTCATGTCTCTTCTACATCAACACGTGTCCCCTCTTCTTCATGTCTCTTCTACATCAACACGTGTCCCCTCTTCTTCATGTCTCTTCTACATCAACATGTGTCCCCTCTTCTTCCTTGTCTCTTCTACATCACCATGTGTCCCCTCTTCTCCATGTCTCTTCTACATCAACATGTGTCCCCTCTCTCATTCTTCATGTCTCTTCTGTCTCTACATCAACATGTGTCCCCTCTTCTTTATGTCTCTTCTACATCAACATGTGTCCCCTCTTCTTCATGTCTCTTCTACATCAACATGTGTCCCCTCTTCTTCATGTCTCTTCTTCATCAACATGTGTCCCCTCTTCTTCATGTCTCTTCTACATCAACATGTGTCCCCTCTTCTTCATGTCTCTTCTACATCATGTGTCCCCTCTTCTTCATGTCTCTTCTACATCAGCATGTGTCCCCTCTTCTTCATGTCTCTTCTACATCAACATGTGTCCCCTCTACTTCATGTCTCTTCTACATCAACATGTGTCCCCTCTTCTTCATGTCTCTTCTACATCAACATGTGTCCCCTCTTCTTCGTGTCTCTTCTACATCAACATGTGTCCCCTCTTCTTCATGTCTCTTCTACATCAACATGTGTCCCCTCTTCTTCATGTCTCTTCTACATCAACATGTGTCCCCTCTTCTTCATGTCTCTTCTACATCAGCATGTGTCCCCTCTTCTTCATGTCTCTTCTACATCAACATGTGTCCCCTCTACTTCATGTCTCTTCTACATCAACATGTGTCCCCTCTTCTTCATGTCTCTTCTACATCAACATGTGTCCCCTCTTCTTCATGTCTCTTCTACATCAACATGTGTCCCCTCTTCTTCATGTCTCTTCTACATCAACATGTGTCCCCTCTTCTTCATGTCTCTTCTACATCAACATGTGTCCCCTCTTCTTCATGTCTCTTCTACATCAACATGTGTCCCCTCTTCTTCACGTCTCTTCTACATCAACATGTGTCCCCTCTTCTTCATGTCTCTTCTACATCAACATGTGTCCCCTCTTCTTAATGTCTCTTCTACATCAACACGTGTCCCCTCTTCTTCATGTCTCTTCTACATCAACATGTGTCCCTTCTTCTTCATGTCTCTTCTACATCAACATGTGTCCCCTCTTCTTCATGTCTCTTCTACATCAACATGTGTCCCCTCTTCTTCATGTCTCTTCTACATCAACATGTGTCCCCTCTTCTTCATGTCTCTTCTACATCAACATGTGTCCCCTCTTCTCATGTCTCTTCTTACATCAACATGTGTCCCCTCTTCTTCATGTCTCTTCTACATCAACATGTGTCCCCTCTTCTTCATGTCTCTTCTACATCAACACGTGTCCCCTCTTCTTCATGTCTCTTCTACATCAACACGTGTCCCCTCTTCTTCATGTCTCTTCTACATCAACACGTGTCCCCTCTTCTTCATGTCTCTTCTACATCAACACGTGTCCCCTCTTCTTCATGTCTCTTCTACATCAACATGTGTCCCCTCTTCTCCATGTCTCTTCTACATCAACATGTGTCCCCTCTTCTCCATGTCTCTTCTACATCAACATGTGTCCCCTCTTCTTCATGTCTCTTCTACATCAACATGTGTCCCCTCTTCTTCATGTCCTCTTCTACATCAACATGTGTCCCCTCTTCTTCATGTCTCTTCTACATCAACATGTGTCCCCCTTCTTCTTCTATGTCTCTTCTTCATCAACATGTGTCCCCTCTTCTTCATGTCTCTTCTACATCAACATGTGTCCCCTCTTCTTCATGTCTCTTCTACATCAACATGTTTCCCCTCTGTGGAAAGAGACTCTGAAAGTTTCAGGAACAAAGATTTTCTCTCTTTTTGATCCATTTCTATAAAAACCTGTCTGAAAATGAGCTGATCAGATTTTGGCCACTTTATGATGTCATAACGATGTTTTGGCTTGTGTAACCATCAGCCAATCAGCCCCCCCCTTATCACCTGAATCTCCTCCTAGAGCATCATTTCATCATCAGTTCTTTGTAACCAAATCTCTCTCAGAGGGGCGTGGGGAGGGGCTCCTTATTTTCATCTAAATCAGGGGTGCCCAACCGGTCGATCGCGGGGAGATTCCCAGTCGATCGCGAGATGTGTCTAAAAATAGAACAACAATATTCTGTTTTATCGTTAATGTCCTATAACATAATCTTCCTGTGCCAGAATAATGTACTTGAACGCATCAAAGCTTTGTGATTGGCCGCCGTGACCCCATGTGTCGGGGCGTGGCTAGTGGGCAGTGCACTAATTCGCTAACGTTGTCCGTGTCAACAGGAGTGACAGTCCGCACACAAACAAGACCGCAATTATGGCAGAAACAAAAAAGCCCAAAATATATAATGTTCACTCCGAGTGGGAGGATGATTATTTTTGTATCTATTCCAATTCAAAGTCCATTTGTCTCATCTGCAATGCGAGCGTGGCTTTATCGAAGAAGGGTCATTTAGGAGCGGCATTTCAAAACAGTGCACAAACGCTACGAGACGGAACTCCCTCCAAATTCTGCCTACGCTCCAAAAGGGGAGGGGCCTGAAAGGACAGCTAAATGCACAGCAGTCCATTTTCACCAGGCCCAACAACAAGAGCAAGGCTGCTACCAGAGCATCTTATCGTGTCAGTCACGTTCTTGCGAAACACATGAAGTCTTTCAAAGACGGCGAAGTTGTGAAAGAAGCATTCCTGGAGGCTGCGACGCGCTTTTGGGGGACAGTAAAAATAACAGTAGCATTTCAACAGGTTTTTGATATAATAAAAACTCAAGTTGGATACCGTTTGTTTGAACTTATTCATTATAATTATTGTACAAAATGGTATAAGAATGCAAACTTAAATTGATTATAGTCTATTATCAATTCAGGTTAAGAAACTAGTGTTGCTTGCATCCTATTTTAAAGGCATTTATTTTTATACTCTAATAAAATGCAACAAAAAAAGGGTTTGATTCTATTAATTTTGTCTTTTTTATTGCACTGTTGCAGCAGATTCCTGAGTAGCTTCAGATCTGAGTTGTCTTATTAGTAAGCCTAATTTATACTTTTGTAGCAACACTATTTGTATTTAATGCCAAAGAAAGGGTTCAGAGTCTTTTCTTTTTGTGTCATATGTGGCAGCACTGTTCAATGTTTCTTGAAAACATTACCCACTGTAGTGACGTGTGAATAAACTCCAACTCTGTATCAACAACACTGTTGTGTAACTTCAGTTAAATACTTGTATGTGTGTAGATTAGAAAGAGGTAAGATAAAGCATCTGCAGTATTTTATGAAGTATTCATCGTACGAAGGTCAGTTTTATACAAGTAGAAGTGTGTATTTACCTGGTAGTAGGCTGTCAGTAATGGCTACGTCTCTCTATTTGGACTGGTAGATCTCGGCAGACTGGCAACTTTAAAAGTAGCTCTCGGTTCAAAAAAGGTTGGGCCCCCCTGATCTAAAGTAACAGACAGAGAATCAGCACTTTGGAAACAGGGCTGAAACAGAGGGGATTATGGGTAATGCTGCAATCATCTGTTTGGTGTTTCAGTGAATCAGAGACAGGCTCTGGATATATCTGAGACCTGTGATTTATTGATGAAAAACAGTGCAATAGGGGACCTTTAAGGTCTTTGGTCACGTTTCATGTTAGTAAAATGTCACAACTTATGTGGATTTGGGAGGTTCTCTATCACAGTATCTTTTATTAGGGTAAAGTTACATATAGTGATTGTTAATTCAATTAAGAAGTGGTTTAAATAACCATAATGCACTCCTCCACCTATTTATTCATTTCTTCTTTCACTTGCGTCACCTGAGAAAACCTTGATCTGTTGTGCTCCCATTTTTCATTTATCAAAACAACCACTTTCCACCTCGGCCACAAATATAAATATTTGCCATATTTTATAATGTTGAAGCTCATCTTTGGAAACCTGTTGAAGTGTTTTCTCACTGTGGCCGTTTCTTCCCACCACATTTCCACAGAAGGTAGACGGTTATTTTAATATTGGCAGAGGTCTACTACATATACTTTTTTTGTGGGGACAAATTATAGAAGAAGCCTACCTGTGTTTGGTATTATTTAAACGCACAAAAGGATAATATAAAAAGACCATTTAATACTGGCTCAACCCTACTTTAAGATTTCTTTATGACAGCGATTGGTGTGTAAAATGAAGTGTTTATTTGCTGGTTTAAATTAGGGATGCCAGTGATTATTCGATTATTCGTTACAGTCTCCATAATCGAATATTATTTTTTAAAAATCGATTTTATTTATATATCGGTCGAATAATCGATTATTATTCGCCAGGGCTGCCGAATAATCGATTTTGATCATGGTCAGTTTCTGGCAACCCTAGTTTAAATCCCCTTAAACATAAGACGTCCTTTCATTTGGTTTACTACCTACACAGAGCTACGACGCCAAATGGGTGCTTCAACTTTTTGTTTTGTAGTCCTCTTAATCAAAGAAACTAGATATTTATATTTGTTTGCCACATCAGTGTTCACATTTAATTTAAATCTGAAAAACAACAATTTGTACACCGACTTAGTAAACAAAGCTGTGATCCAGTATTTAAAATATAATTTTTTCCATCTTAATCAAACGTAATGTATTTGTTGTTTTGCAGGAGTTTCCGTGTGTGGTCCCACCGGAGTGTAAAGTCACCGCTCCTTCCCCCCGCCCACAGAGAGGTGCCAACAGAGGGCCAGGATGCCTCCTCCTCCTCCCCCCCCACCCCCAGGTCCCCCGCCTCCCCCAACCTTCCATCAGGTCAGTGACTGCACAGCATAGTGCAAAGATATAACAATAAAGCTTTATGTATACAGCACTTCTCATACAACACATGCAGCTCAAAGTGCTTTACAAAATGACACAAGTTAAAAACAAACAACAAGAAACTCCTCTCAGATCAATTGTTAAGAACTGTACAGGTACATGCAGCAACATATAACATTTGGTCAGGTTAATGGACACAAGGAGGTCAAAGGTAAACAAACCAAACAATGGTTTCTCTCTGAGTCGATGCAACAATATAAGCTAATCTAAAAAATGTGTCTTTTAGCTGGCGTTTCAAAATGTCCACTGAGTGATAAAATCTCACTCGACACCGGTTTGAGAATCAATAATCAGGTACTAATGTATTCTTGGAAGAAGGAGCAGAGTTAACTCACACACAGGAATATGGTTCAACTCACACACACAAGGCATGCTGCTCAAAGGAACAGGAAATCACATCAAGCTTATATAGCCTAACGCCCCGTCTACACTACAGGCATCAAAAAATCTTGAAGCTGGTCGTGTCTGAGGCTTGGCGATTTCACGCGCCCAAGGCGACCAACAACCAATCACATGAATCTCCCGCCCCCGACATACAAAGCAATAGCAATGTTAAAACGAAGTAAACTGGATATAAACTCCCCAAACAGGCGAAAACCTACCAGTTTCACCCACTGTCTCTGCCACCTCCCTCCATGCCTGGTTCTTCCGGTTTGTATCCCGGTAAATAGTTCAGGTCGTAAAGAACCGGGTGATTTGCTACCGTAATTTCTCGTTTGGAAATATGAGGAAATGAACTGGCTCTCAGCTTGCACGCGTTTGATTGGCTAGCGTTTGTACTGGCGGGAATTGCATAAACGGGATTTGATTGGCTGATGCCAGCATCGAGCCTCAAAAGTTGAACATTGTTCAACTTTTGATGCCAGCATCGAGCCTCAAAAGTTGAACATTGTTCAACTTTTGATGCCGATAGATGCTCGTGATGCTCGTGATGCTTGCAACGCCATGCCATGCTCCCCACAATGCAGTTCGGCGAAGTTTGAAAATATCCTACGTCACCCCATTCAAATGAATGGGCGAAGCGTTGAAAGCATTTTTGATGCCTGTAGTGTAGACGGGCCGTAAGTGTATTCCCACTCATAGTCGTAAATCGGTTTGGTGTCGGCAGGTTCCCGTACATGCAGGTATTCCTCATTACGAATATGTTGCTCGTTGCCCCTCAAAGGGTGGGAGACGAGAGTAGTTGTCTTCCCATCTGTCGATAAACAAAGTGTGCCCTGCCTCCTTCTATCTAAAGAGGAGGCCGCTGCAGGTCATACACAGCACCAACAGTTCTTAGATAACATAGGAATACCAAAGTCAGTTGTATTTTCCCCAACACATCAAAAACCGCAACAAATAGGAGTTAAGAGTTCAGTAAAGCAGAATTCATCCACAACTTACTGTAAACGTATGTATAAATGTCTCTGTTGATTGTGTATATACATATTTTTATATATATTTGTATTGTATTCTTCGGGATTGTGGGAAACAGTATTTCGATCTTTCTGTCTACACACAAACTGAACGATTGACTATAAATTTGACTTTGACTTTGATATACACTCTTTTAGGTCCACCTGCATTACTTCCTGTTCATACTAGGGATGCCAGCGATTATTCGAATATTCGTTACAGTCTCCGTAATCGAAAATTATTTTAAAAATTCGATTTTTATTATTTGTTTTTCTTTTTTTTCCTGGCTTAGTTTCAACCAAAATATAGACTAATAGTATTAATAATTGTAAATGGCCATTGGTCACACCACCAGTTTGTTTGACTGTAAACAAATAGTCGATTAATATTCGCCAGGGCTGTCCGATTTTTCGAATTTTATCATGGTCAGTTTCTGGCATCCCTAGTTCATACCTGCATCCCACTATACACACACACACATACACACACACACACACACACACACACACACACACACACACACACACACACACACACACATATATTTATGTGCATTCCCCGTTTACTTTCTTGTTCTTACCTCTCCATAACCGGCTTAACCTGTCTACAGGTGATTCATGTTATCTTCACTGCACCAGTCTATCGCAGTAACATTTTCTACCCCCTTGTTTTATAATTTTTTTGCAGCATTGGATTTAAACTAAACTAAATCCTGCATTCATGAATCTTAAATGTTTAAAGTCGCAGTAATGCCTGGTGACTCATTGACTAATTTCCGCCCGGCCCACTAATGAGACAACTCCTTGGGTTTCCCTTCTTCCCCCGATACTACTTCAACTCACCGATCAGCATCTGCAGGATATTACAGACGAGCAGCTTCCTGTTCTTCAAGAGTGAAATTACCAGTCTGAAGAAGATTTGATAATAATAATCATTAGTTCAAACACACTGTAAAAGCACTTCAACATGACTATAAGGTAGGGCTGTGCAATTAATCATATTTTAATCGCAGTTACGATTTTGGCCTGCCATAATTACAAAAACAACATCGAAAGAAACTATTATTTAGCTTTGCTAGGTTGTGACAGTGCACTACAACATATTTGATCTAATTAATTTTAGTCTTATTTTTATTTATATATGTTTAGTAGCTTGTGGAAGTGCGCTCCAAAATATTTGTTGATCTTGTTTATTGGTATTTATTATTTGGATATTATTTATTTAAATATATCATTTATTTTAGTTTTGGTTTTTCAGTTGAATTATACGTTCAGGGTAATCGACAGTTAAAAAGATACTGTTCAAATTATTATTTGTTTTAAAGTTCAATAAATGGATGTTTTCAAAGTCAATGAATAATCGTATTTAATAATCGTGATATCAATTATTGACCAAAATAATCGTGATTATGATTATCGCCGTAATCGAGCAGCCCTAGTATAAGGGGATAATAGTGTGAGAAAAGTTAAATCATTCCTTAAAGAACGGTATCACAAATGTTAATTTATGCAAAACAAGGGAGAGAAACCTGAAGTCTGGGCTGAATGTCCCCCTTTGTGTTTCGCACCTGGCATGAACACCAGCGATGGTTAATTATAACAAAATAAGTTTCAGGCTCTGCCGTCAAAATCTCTGACATGGCCAATCTACTGCATCATGTGACGTTTGTTTACAAGCCGTGAGTCTCTCTGTAAAAGTGTGCCATGTGAACCCAATCAAAATGTTTTAAGACGTGTCAGACGAGATGAACTAGAGATGTGATATTTCTATTTTCTTTCTCGGCAGGCGAACATAAATCCTCCCAAACTGGGCTCGAATGAGACCAAAGGCAGAGGAGCGCTGCTGTCGGACATCCATAAAGGCGCCAGACTAAAGAAGGTCTCAGGGGTCAACGACCGGAGCAGCCCCATTATAGAGAGTGAGTCACTGAGCATGCATACACATATTAAACATGTCCTTATATTCAAAAGAAAGCTTATATTGGAGAAAAAATAAACACCGAAATGTGAGTTATTATTATATAATACGTTAATGTTCTTATGTGATTTCTGGAGCACACACATCAGGGGGGGGTGCTAGTGGAGCACACTCATCAAGGGGGGGTGCTAGTGGTACACACTCATCAAGTGGGGGGGGGTGCTAGTGGTACACACTCATCAAGGGGGGGTGCTAGTGGTACACACTCATCAAGTGGGGGGGGGGTGCTAGTGGTACACACTCATCAAGGGGGGGGGGGGGTGCTAGTGGTACACACTCATCAAGGGGGGGGGGGGGGGTGCTAGTGGAGCAAGCTCATGAACTGTTCGCCGGAGCCTCGTAGCGGAGCGTATGCGGTGCGCATAAAGCAGACCCTGCAGAGCAAACGGGTTCAGGAGGGGTAGTTAATCGATCGCGTCGTGCTCGCGGACAGATAATAAAAGATTAAACCTAAATGTGTCGCGAAATATACTTTGGCGGACGTTAATATACCTGGGCGGGCCCGCCCAAGTAAAGTCTGTGTGGGAAACCCTGGTAAAACTGGACAGTAGTAGACATGTCTCTTGAAATCAACACGTGCATCAAAGAAACACTTCCTTATTTGTGCTCCAATTGATATTTGAATTCTCCAAGTGCTTGTGGCTTGGCACAGTATTTTGGATATTTATTCGGCCAAATGTCTGAGTACTGAGTTCAAGTGCTTCTCAGTTAATGGTGAATGAAAAGACAAATGCAAACAAAAAAAAAATATATACACATTTCCAAGAACTCGATTCATGTGTTAATTCCAAAATATAATAAACAAAGATAGATGAATACAAAAATAAGTCAAATACTACACCCTGGTTTCTGGCTGCAAGTAATAGGGATTTTGGTTTGTATTTGTTTAGCTGAAGAAAGTTTATAAAACGAACTATGAAGCTAGAAGTCCTCTGCAGCACAGAGCTGAGGTGTGGAAGAGCGTTATTGCTGTTGGCAGGAACATTTCCAGTCCTTGTCAGTGCAGCTGAATCAATCTGTAGGAGAAACACTTGGCTTTAAGTCCACGACTTGGTGCCGAGGGTGCTCATGAATACACATAATGGGTAGCTTTGTTCATCGACCGAATTCTAGCTTTTCTGTGCTCGCTCTTCCTAGTCCAACTGCCATGGTGTTGCAAAATCCAAATATTTGAATATTCAAATATATTCCTAGTTCTGCTTTCATATTTGTTTTATATATTAACATGGGTGTCATCTTTTCACCGGAATCAGGTGGAGGAGGCGGAGGAGGAGGAGGCGGAGGAGGAGGAGGAGGCGGAGGAGGAGGTGGCGGAGGACCAATGGGACTGGGAGGCCTTTTCCAAGGAGGGTGTCCCAAAACTACGCCCAGTCGGAGGTAAACAATGATTTTATTGCTTGAGGGAATTTTCCAGTTGGACTGAAAGTATATAGTATATATAAAAACATAATTAAAAAAAATCTTGCAATTTATATTAAGGTAAAATAATAATTATAATATTAAAAATATAAATGAAACAAATATATAATATACATAACAACATAAACAATAATCCTTCAAAGTATACATGGTAAGTAAATTGGTAAAGCTTAAATAACAATAATAATTCAAAAGAAAACTATAATATTAAAATAACAATATGAAATAGTTATTTAAATTGTACATCATGAATACATTTGTGAAGATAATTAATAATAATACACTTCCCAAATTAATTAGATTTTGGTGCTCAAAGGTCCCGGTTGGCTCACATAATACACTTTAGCTTGAACTCCTCACTCTTATGCTCACTGTGACGAATTCATCTCCGAGGATGCGTGAAGTGTAGGGAGGACATTTTGAGGAGCCATTCAACGATGAGGTAGTTTTAGTTTCTAATGTGGTCAAATGTTTGTCTATGAATTTGCATGTTTTCTTTATAGGCTGTAAAAGTGCTCTGGTAATTTGTGTAAATAAATAAACCAGAGGCGACAAAAAGTCAAAGTCCAGTAAGACAATCTAGTCATAAATCACCTCAATCATAATCTGTCAGTTCTCCATATCAGCTACAAACAAACCGTGTTATCTGCAGTAGAAAAACTAAGAGAAGAAGACACATTCTACATTTTCCTACATTTCTACTGAGTGTTTCTGTTATTTCTACTCGTGAATCTGTTCCTCCACGTTCATGATGTGGTTATAGAAAGGAACAGAACATTCAGAAGCCCACACGGTATGAATCATGAGGAGATCTGGACGTGACTGTGGTTATTTTAAGCCTAATGCACCAGCTTTCCACTCCTCTCCGACGGAGCAGACATATTTGTGGTCGCAGCCGAAGCGGTGAAGAACGAGGGATTGAAATTATTAATGAACAGTTTTATTTTAGAGATATCAAATATTTAAAATGACACTGAACCACTGTGACCTTTCAAGTCCTTGGTGTAGTTAGAAATCTATTCTGAGGATGTGAAACACTAAATATTGGTTGTGGCTTCTGCAAATGATTTTTAGTTGACATTTTTAAATACTCCAGTTTGCGGTATTAAAATAAAAGCAATACAGATGAGTTTGTCAAATATTTTCATTTATTTAACTTTGTTTCTAACCACTTAATACAATTAATTGATTAAATAAACGTGTGGGAGAGAAACTCCCCCTGGAGGGCAAACAGGGATTTTAGCCGATTGCAGACGGTTTACATGCACACAAACCTATAGCGCACACTACAGGAGAGGGAAAACAGGGATTTTAGCCTTTGCAGACCGTTTACATGCACACAAACCTATAGCACACACTACAGGAGAGGGAGAGTCCCTTTTTTTAAATACACGTTTTCAGGTTTTTAATCTAAAAAGTTTTAGTTTCTTCTGTTGTGTCCTAAACCCCTTCCTCTCTGTCCTTCACCCAGATGGTTCTTCCGGAGGTTCTGTGGGCAGATCTGCCCTGCGGCCCCCTGGGTCCCGGCCCGCGGCCCCTCGCCCCCCTTCAGGTCGTTCCTCCTCCCCCTCCCCTCGCCTCCCCACAGTTCGCTCCTCCTCCCCCTCCCCTCGCCCCCCCACAGTTCGCTCCTCCTCCCCCTCCCCTCGCCCCCCCACAGGTCGCTCCTCCTCTCCCTCCATGGCCAACAAGCCCTCCTCTCCTGAGAACCAGCGCTCCCACCGCCCCTCGCTCCCAGACATCTCTCGCCCCTCCTCAGCCGGCGGGATGAAGCACAGCACCTCCGCCCCCCCTCCCCCCTCCCCCCTTCAACAGAGGGGGAGCCCGCAACAACGCTCCACCTACACCCAATCAGAAATCACACGCTCCACCTTCCTCCTCCAACAACAATCACAGCCGAGAGAAGCCCCTCCCACCGACGCCCAGCAGAGGCCACACCTCTCCCAACGCTGTGAAGCCGCCTCCGTCTTCAAGCCGACCCCCGACAGGCGGTTCTTCTGCTCCTCCTCCTCCCCCTCCTTACAGACCGAACACATCGAGCGGCGTCTCCAACGGGCCGTCACACGTGGATGGAGGCGGAGCTCCGGAGCTGCCGCAGAGGCACAACTCCCTGCACAAAAAACACACCTCAGGAGAAAGAGAGAGAGGGGGAGAAAGAGGAGGAGGACGCAGCCAAGCTCCTCCTCCTCCTCCCTCACCCTCTCCTTCCTCCCAGCTGGGCAGCAGACCTCCACCGCCCGTCAGAGAGCCGCCGGGACGCAGATCAGGTACGACCAGCTGCACCGTCAACACACTGTCAGTATTCATGTCTCAAAGGTTAGAGGTCACTGATGCGCTACGATATATATTATGGACATTTAGCTGACGCTTTCATCCAAAGCAACTCTGAATAAGTGCAATCAGCCATGGAGATCCAAACTCACAACAGCAAGAATCCTGCAGGTACTTTAGACCTCATTTACACGCAAACGCATACGAAACCCAAATTAACCGAATACGATATCAAAAAAGTATTCCGTTCACATGAGACCGCTCGAAAGCGCTGGAGACGCTGTAGTACACCAAAAGCAGCGAAGAAGACCCCTGAACATGGTTGGCCTTCTGTTTATGCCCCTCGGTGGATTTAGTAACATGTAGTTCATGTAATTCTCCATGTCCACTTGTTGTTGATGGTTGTGAGGAGCTGTAGATTTTGCACTAACATCTGGAGTGGAGTGCACCAGCTGGGCGTAAAAAAGTAGGGCTTAACTCTAACGTCGGGCTTAGCTACGTCCGACGTAGTGATTCGAATTTACACCGAGTGCACCAAGCCTGACTAGTCTCGGGCGTAGCTGCGCCTGGTCTTAAGATGCGCGTCCATGTGAATACACGCGAAACAGTAATTGTTGCCCACAGCGTCAGCGATGACTCAAGGGGAATCCCAAATGGCCACACCCCGAAAGAGATAGAGGGATTTGTCAGAGCTACAGCGGGAACTGACGGAGAAAGAAATCGTTCGTGTGGAGGTGGAGACCGTCAAATTGAGAGCGGAACACGAAAAAATTGAGCTGGAGAAGGAGAAATTGAGACTCTTCTTAATGCCCTTTCATTGTTAAACATGTAAACAAGACGCCCTGCCATCGTTAATATCCTTCTTGCCTGTTTTACGTTACTATGGATACTAGTCTGTCTTTCCGATTTACGCCTGCTCCATAGGCGTAAAAGTTACACCCGGGCGCAACACATACAGGGCTTAAGTCTAAGTGGTGCACTAGTCATAACTTTAGTTTGGTCTTAACCTTCGGTTCTACGTCGGACGTAGAGTTACGCCCAGCTTACGCCCAGCTGGTGCACTCCACTCCAGTAGCATGGTCAGTAGCTACTGACCATGCTACTGGAGTGAGCAGCAGAGGTGGGGCTATAATAATACATTTTATTTCAAAGCGCTTTTCCAGGTGCTCAAAGACGCTTTGCAGTGGTTTGATAAAACATGATAAAATAGAATAAAGAATAGAAATAAAAAATAAATAAATATTAAAACAGCAACACAGCATAATTCACAAATTTAAAAGCCAGTCTGAAGAGGTGTGCTTTGGTCAGTGTTTTGAAAGTGGGGGGGTCGGTGCAGTCTCTGATGTGTTGTGGAAGGGAGTTCCAGAGGGTGGGGGCAGCGATGGAGAAGGCTCTCTGGCTTCATCGTTATCAGGAAATTATCGTATAGGACGTACACACGGAGCCGTTTGGCCCCCCAGAGAGTTCCGGTTGCAGATCTATCCACCTTGGGACCCGTTATCGTTTGCGGGGTTCGTTTGCGGGGTTCGTTTGCGGGGTTCGTTTCCGTTGCGGCCTCGTGTGAACGAACGGCCTATACGTGAGAGAAAAGTAGCAGATACAACCCGTTTCGTTCTCGTGTAAACACCGCCTTAGCTTCAAATAAGCCAAACTTTTTGAAGTTGCTGCAGGGCTCAGTCGGCCATCATCATCGTAGGAGAAAAATATGTTTTTGTAGATCAGTTTGAGACCTAGAACGGCAGCTTGCCACTATTTGTATTATTGATTTAACTTGAACATTATGATTATTTTGGTTTATTGTCTTTTCCCTTCTGCTCCTGTCTGCTCCCTGCAGTCAACAAAAAGCACAAACACTTAACATTGTTTATTTCTATATTGCCCAACAAATACATAATTCCTCCAATCATTTCAGCACAGAACATGAGTAACTGTGTGTCAACACGTTAAGGATCAGTATTTAAAGCATCCCTCTGATGAAAACAACATCTCAGAAGCAGGAATGTTCCTCCAGAGGCCGAAGCGAGTTATGACTCGTTACCTCTTAACCTCTATTGTGCAACGCAGCAAACTGAAAACCTACTGCAGGTCCATTCCTGAAAGTAGAGCAGAGGGCAGTGACGAGACTTTGTGTGGCTCTACTGAACGTCCTCTTCTGAGGCCAGGGCTCTGCAAAGATACTTCATATGATTAAGTTTCATATGTAGCTCGTAATGGTTACTCAAAGGGACACAAAAAAAGCATGATAACAGTTACGTGTCATGCTGCTGTTTGATATGTATTATGGTATCTTCAGCTGCATCTTTGTTTTTTGATTCATTTCATTTTTATTTGTTCCGCTAGGGATGCATATCGTTGACTTTTTTACGATACCGATACCACTGAACGATACCGATACTCAACCGATACATATCGTGATACGTTGAAAATGTATCATCCCACAATTACTCCCATGAAGCGCTTTAGGATATAGTTAACATGTCAAAAGAATATTCAATTCAATTGTGGGACTTCTTGGACCTTTTAGTTCTGAACAAACAATGAAAAATACATAACAAATATGAAGAAAAGCGATGATGGAATATCTTTTATAACACCCGCCATCAGGTGTGCCGCGTGAATAGCACATCTTGTCAATGCAAACAGACACCGTTATAATTCATGTTAAACCTGAGATTCGACTAGAGAACAAATAAATAATAGAATAAAGGTCATGAGATCTCGGCATTGCACAAACAAACAAATCTCATCTTTAAAATCAACATGCCTTCACTGGTGAGAGAAAACAAATCCCATCACAGTTCATTTGTGGGACTTTTACCTTTCTAGTATTGAACAAACAGAAATACATAAAATATGAAGGAAAACGATTATGCAATCTAATTTATAACACCCGCCATCACGGGCCACGGACTCACTTTTAAAATTAATTTAAAACATTTTTTTTTTTAAATATTTTTTTTTTTAAGTATCGAAACCGGATCTGATTTCGGTACGGTATACCGTAGCCACCAGTATTTCGGTAATACCGGATACCGGTATGCATCCCTATGTTCCGCTCATGGTACGCAAAACCTAATGTACAATAATTGCCAACAAAACATGTCTCTACAAACACACTGCTGAGCGAAAAGGAGCAGGGAGAAGAAACGCATCTTAGATGACCTGCCCCTTTCTAAATTAAATAAATAGATGGAAATAGATGGTCGGCCCTTCATCATAATTTATTAATAACATAACAGTATCTTAGGATGCTAAGAGAAACACAAAAAAATCACATGTAAAAGGAAAAGTGCAACACCCTGATCCTACTGGAGAAGAAGGTGGAAAGCGGAGCATAATAATAACAATAACAATAACAATGGGACCTGCAAATAAAGAACAGACATCACATCAAAGACATCAACAATATTTATCAATGCAGGACCGGAGTACATAGACTTATTCACATTCTGCTTCATATTGTCCCATCTTTCTTGATTTATACAATTTCTTTAACTGAAAAATTCATATACAATTCTTTAGATCCTTCTGTTGAGAATTCCACAATTGTACACCAACCACCGAAATACACATTTGCTTAAGAGTAGCCCTTGCATAAGGATGCTTAAAAGGAAATTGTAATTCTCCTCATGGTTGAGGACCAGCTGGCGTTAACGGGCTGTGGCTTGATTGGCTAGCTGCTTCGTGCATAACCAATGAATCCTCCCATGTCTCTCAGATAAACTCTCAGATGAGTTGTCTTCCTCCTCAGAGCGGAAAATATAAATTCATAATTTGAATTCAGAGTGAACGCACAAACAGGAAGGCACTTGTTAGCCGGAGCTCTGCGTTGTGATTGGACGGCTCGAGGCCTCCTGGTTCCTCTGCATTCCTGAAGCTCTGTGGAATCTTCCAGCATTCCTCTTCACTCTCACTCTCTGCTGCTTGTACTCTTAACATTACGTTTCATGACCTCTGCTGCGTTACCATACTGTTCCTGATGATCTGTGCCTTGTTTGTTTGGCACTTGATATTTTAAAGTAGATATAAAAGAGCTTAATGACTAACAGCAGCTACAGTGTGTGAAACTCAAAATCATTTCACAAGCGATGTTTTTAAAACTGGTTCTCTTCGATGGAGTCACTCATTCAAAGAGAATATAACTATAACCTCGGTGTACTTACTGGTTGTGGTTGTTTTGCTTTAATGCTTTTTGAAAGTGCTGTAACAGGGACCATTTAAAGATTATTTTCATTAACTATCATTTCTATTATGTGAGATGTCCTTCCCAGTTAGCCCAAGTCAAAGTGATGTCTCTAAATGTCTTGTTTTATCAGTTCAATCTTAAAAATATTCAGTTAAATTCAGTAAGAAAATCATAAAATCTCCAATTATGAGGCAAAAAAGTAGCATTTTCGGACATTTATTCATGTATTAATGTATTTTAATTGCTGTAGCCTCCTGCGGATCAGTTGCATAATCAGGGGGTCCGCGGGGTCTTAAAAGTATTAAAAGTTGATAAATCAATTTAGCGAAAATTAAGGCTATTAAAAAAGTATTAATGGGCATTTTCCAAGGTCTTACATTTGGTAGCTTGTTTACAATAAGTATATAAATGGTCCAAAGAGGTTGTATTCCACAGTCTGCCTGAATGTAATCATGGCGTAGGTGTGTAGTGTGATTCTGTGTAGTTTATTGATGGCATCCCGTTGGATTTGACCTCATCTGAACAGGACATCGCACGCTCACTGCTTGATAGCGCGCGAAGGTCCGTTTACGCCGGTTGCTAAGCAACATCGTTATGGGGAAATGCAAGTCTGCGTCCAAATGGTTGGAAGATAAGGAGGAAGGACAATCAATACTGTGTATAGTCAATGTGAGGTGAAGTGTGTCGCCAAGGTAACCGGTTAAAACTCGAAGAGCCGTAATTTTGCCCGGAAGTGACGTAGGTGTTACTCTCATATACACACAGATTGATGAAGTAGTTGCAGACCTACGAATGTTAGCCAATAGTTTCTAATTGGGTCCAATATAAGCTAATTACTTACTGTTTCCAAAGCATAAAAGTTAGATATTAAAACGGTACAATAATAAAGATTTTATTGTTTGTGAAAGTTATCTCTTTATATAATACTTCTCTGCATGTTATGTCATTCTAAACGCTGCAGCAGTGAAGTAGGGAAAACTCCTTTTATCGTGGTGCGTTCAAGAACACTTCAACTTCCAGGAATGAAGAGTTACAGAAATAATGAAATCTGTTTTCGTAGAGAAACAAACACAGATGGATAAACAATGAGCCAAAAGAATATGTAATGAAGTTTCAGATGTCGGAGTGTCCTTGAATGCACCATCAGTGGAACCTTTTTTGTTATCAGACTGCTTGAAATATCTCTACATGACGTGATGTCTAATTATCTACAATGTGTGATGGATGGGAACTAATAAAAGATACACTTTAACAACAAAATGAGGCCTGAAAATCTCAAAGGACTCGGATAATTCTGGCTCCAACATCCATTAAAATTGTATAATTGAAACAGCAATTTGAGTTACTTTAAATCATCATCAAAAACCCATTATTGTTCCCAAAGAGGGGAAATGTACATTGTTAGAGCAGATAAAGAGGAAATCACACGTTAATACTAGGGCTGTCAAGTTAACGCGTTAATAACGCAAAAATTAACGCCACTAATTATTTTAACGCGATTAACGCATGTGTATCTTTTTTCCTCCGCCGCCCCGTAGTTTCAGAGCGCATCGAGTTTAAAATATCATCTACAAGCTGATGCTGACAGCCCGCTCCTGCCGCCCGCTTGTGGCAGACCACACTTCCACGCTCACCGGCAGGCACCGACTGGCTGTTGGGAGGACCGGGAGGGTGTGTGCATGTGTGGCCCGAGCGAGCGAGAGAGAGACCTTACGTGCATTGTTGTTGTTAGCATCTGGTGCTAGCTAGCTGCGCTAACGGATATGGAGCTGTTTAAATGAAAACAGAGGAGCGACATTTCGCCGACAACTGCGCCGAGCACTTGACTTTATGCAGGAAGCCAGACAGTGGGACATTGTACGAGAAGTCAGCACACTCGGCACGGATAGTGTAACATGATTGCAGCGTCCAGCATATGCCTTGAGTTGCACATAGCTCCAATGAACACACACACACACACACACACACACACACACACACACACACACACACACACACACACACACACACACACACACACACACACACACACACACACACACACACACACACACAGTATTAGGTTCCAGGTTGAATTGAGGCGAATATTTGTAATGTTCAGAGGTTGTTGTGTTTAATATTCATGAGAATATTTGTCATTGTTCAAATGATAATAAACATTAGCATAAAGCATATTTGTCCACTCATATGTTGATAAGAGTATTACAAACTTGAAAAATAATCTAAGGTACATTTAGAACAGATAAAAAATGTGCGATTAAATATTTGAATCGACTGACAGCCCTAGTTAATACGAATCAGTAAACATTCAGGATAAAAAAAGCACTATTGTAAAAATTAGGTTGAACGTATTAAAGTATTGAAGTAGCAGCTAGATAACAGAAATACATATTAATAAGTACAGTAGATTTGCAGAATAAAGCAGGGGTTCCTAACCTGGGTTACAGGGACACCTAGGGGTTCTTTAGGGGATTGCAGGAGTTCGTTGATGCAATTTTAATCCACCCAAAAAGACATGTTTAAATCAATGTTCATAAGCCTGGTGTCCCGCTCCCAGAACTATCAAAGCTTATGAAAGACTAGCAAGCTCTAATGACTTAATAAGAGAAGCTCGAAGCGTGTCTTAATATAATTATGTTTCACTCACAAGAAGTGTAAATGTCCAGTTTGAATGCATTTGTATTAAGGGTGAGTTATAGAAGGGATTTTCATTTAATCAGCCATTGGTTAAATACAATTACAAATTGTTTTTAAAAATGTAGGCCAATCACAAGAGATGAGTTATTGGGTCTCTTATAGAGCCTTGAGATGACGTTGTTTTTAAAGTGTGTGTGTGTGTGTGTGTGTGTATAGCACACTTTAAAAACAACGTCATCTCAAGGCTCTATAAGTATGAAATGTATTATTATTATAGAAGGGCCACCAGCTCAAGGGGTACACGAGATAAAAAAAGGTTGGAACCACTGGTATAAAGTACAGTATTACATCAGTAACATCGTCCTGATCGTGTGTTGTCCCCACAGCTCCTCAGGTGCCTCCTAATGGGTCTCGTAACGGATCTCGTGACGCCCCTCCTCCTCCTCCGCCCCCGTATCGAGGCCACAGCGCTGCGGCCTCAGAGCTTCACAGCCGGGGGGGCAAACCTCCTCCTCCACCTTCCTCTTCCTCCTCCTCATCTTCCTTATCCTCAAGAACCCCAGCTGGACCCCCTCCCCCTCCCCCGCCCATCAGGAACGGCCACTCCTCCATCCCCTCCTCCAAGTCCATCATAGGTGAGTCGGGCGAAATCATATTCCTCCTACATTTTCATTCATCAGCAGAGAGGGCACAAGCACACATCCTTTACTCAAGTAGAAGTACAGATACTCGTGTTTAAAAATACTCTGGTGAAAGTAGAAGTACTGACTAAACTTCTTTAATCAAGTCAAAGTAAAGAGGCTTTGAAATGTCCTTCAGTAAAAAGTACCCATAACTAGCAGCTGTTTTAAAGAGTACCTGACCTCCCTTTATATTAATAGAACAATAATGTCATTGTTAGCTAATAGGGGTGTAACGGTTCACAAACATTTCGGTTCGGTACGTACCTCGGTTTTTAGGTCACGGTTCGGTTCGGTACGTTTTTGGTTCAGCAGAAAAAATTATCACAAAACATAAAATATTGTTTGGGTTTTTTAAATTATTATCAAACTGTGAATAATGTATTCACTCAAATAAATACAAAATAAAATAAACATTAAGGTGCAGCATTTCGATGAACTGAAATAATCTGTATTTGAACTGTACTAGCACCTAAGCAGCCAGCTTGACATTAGGACTTGCTTGTCATTGTATTTTCATGTTGTTTAAAGAAAAATGAACTTGTCCACATTGCTTGCCAAAAGGGCAGATCTGCTGGCACTAACAATGTCTCCTGCTGTGGAGAACACCCTCTCTAGGGACAGAGGTAGCAGATACAGCCAGGTAGCGCTTTGCTAACATGGCAACATAAGGATATTTGGCGTTTGTAATAGCTTTGGCTCGGTCTGAGCTTTTTGCCAGCCGCGTAACCAATTTTAGTTGAACAATGCCGACAAACAGTTTTGGTTCGGTCCACCTGTCTTTGTCCGTCATCCTTGTTCGTAACTGCGAAACCAAAATGTTCCCAAACCGGAGACTTCAATGATGCTGGAGGATTTTCGAGCTCAACTTTATCTGCGTTCGCCATTTCGACAGTTCCTCCAATTACTGACTACATTTGAACGCATCCCTCTGACCAGCTCTCATAGTATGCCTCTCGTCCAATGAAATGACTTGCTCGCTCTATGACGCGTTGAACACAATGTGAGCAAATTACTCTGAATGCTGCGACGCAGCACCTGAGATTACTTCCAAGAAGTTGTTCACGTTCTCAATTGTTTACGTTTAACGTTATATTCGTTCGGTACACACGTGTACCGAACTGAAGGGCCCGTACCGAATAATTTCGGTACGGGTACGTATCATTACACCCCTATTAGCTAATGAATGTTTCCATGCTGAACAACGGCAACATGACAACGTTTCCATTGGTCCCTCTTCTTTAGAGAAGACCAGGAAATGATGGATACACGGATCGTGTTCAAATCAATAGGCACGCTATGACTCTAAAGAATAATGATCACGCATCAAACACACATTCAGACTAAAGGAACCAGCTGTTTGGAAAATGAGAGAAGTAGAAAGTACAAGTATTTGAGTTCAACATGTAAGAAGTAGAAAGTACAGGTATTTGAGTTCAACATGTAAGAAGTAGAAAGTACAGGTATTTGAGTTCACCATGTGAGAAGTAGAAAGTACAGGTATTTGAGTTCAACATGTGAGAAGTAGAAAGTACAGGTATTTGAGTTCAACATGTAAGAAGTAGAAAGTACAGGTATTTGTGTTCAACATGTAAGAAGTAGAAAGTACAGGTATTTAAGTTCAACATGTAAGAAGTAGAAAGTACAGGTATTTGAGTTCAACATGTAAGAAGTAGAAAGTACAGGTATTTGAGTTCAACATGTAAGAAGTAGAAAGTACAGGTATTTGAGTTCAACATGTAAGAAGTAGAAAGTACAGGTATTTGAGTTCAACATGTAAGAAGTAGAAAGTACAGGTATTGAGTTCAACATGTAAGAAGTAGAAAGTACAGGTATTTGTGTTCAACATGTAAGAAGTAGAAAGTACAGGTATTTGAGTTCAACATGTAAGAAGTAGAAAGTACAGGTATTTGAGTTCAACATGTAAGAAGTAGGAAGTACAGGTATTTGAGTTCAACATGTAAGAAGTAGAAAGTACAGGTATTTGAGTTCAACATGTAAGAAGTAGAAAGTACAGGTATTTGAGTTCAACATGTAAGAAGTAGAAAGTACAGGTATTTGAGTTCAACATGTAAGAAGTAGAAAGTACAGGTATTTGAGTTCAACATGTAAGAAGTAGAAAGTACAGGTATTTGTGTTCAACATGTAAGAAGTAGAAAGTACAGGTATTTGAGTTCAACATGTAAGAAGTAGAAAGTACAGGTATTTGTGTTCAACATGTAAGAAGTAGAAAGTACAGGGTATTTGTGTTCAACATGTAAGAAGTAGAAAGTACAGGTATTTGTGTTCAACATGTAAGAAGTAGAAAGTACAGGTATTTTGTGTTCAACATGTAAGAAGTAGAAAGTACAGGTATTTGAGTTCAACATGTAAGAAGTAGAAAGTACAAGTATTTGTGTTCAACATGTGAGAAGTAGAAAGTACAGGTATTTGAGTTCAACATGTAAGAAGTAGAAAGTACAGGTATTTGAGTTCAACATGTGAGAAGTAGAAAGTACAGGTATTTGAGTTCAACATGTAAGAAGTAGAAAGTACAGGTATTTGAGTTCAACATGTGAGAAGTAGAAAGTACAGGTATTTGTGTTCAACATGTGAGAAGTAGAAAGTACAGGTATTTGTGTTCAACATGTAAGAAGTAGAAAGTACAGGTATTTGAGTTCAACATGTGAGAAGTAGAAAGTACAGGTATTTGTGTTCAACATGTAAGAAGTAGAAAGTACAGGTATTTGTGTTCAACATGTAAGAAGTAGAAAGTACAGGTATTTGAGTTCAACATGTAAGAAGTAGAAAGTACAGGTATTTGAGTTCAACATGTGAGAAGTAGAAAGTACAGGTATTTGTGTTCAACATGTAAGAAGTAGAAAGTACAGGTATTTGTGTTCAACATGTAAGAAGTAGAAAGTACAGGTATTTGTGTTCAACATGTAAGAAGTAGAAAGTACAGGTATTTGTGTTCAACATGTAAGAAGTAGAAAGTACAGGTATTTGTGTTCAACATGTAAGAAGTAGAAAGTACAGGTATTTGTGTTCAACATGTAAGAAGTAGGAAGTACAGGTATTTGAGTTCAACATGTAAGAAGTAGAAAGTACAGGTATTTGAGTTCAACATGTAAGAAGTAGAAAGTACAGGTATTTGTGTTCAACATGTGAGAAGTAGAAAGTACAGGTATTTGTGTTCAACATGTAAGAAGTAGAAAGTACAGGTATTTGTGTTCAACATGTAAGAAGTAGAAAGTACAGGTATTTGAGTTCAACATGTAAGAAGTAGAAAGTACAGGTATTTGTGTTCAACATGTAAGAAGTAGAAAGTACAGGTATTTGTGTTCAACATGTGATAAGTAGGAAGTACAGGTATTTGGGTTCAACATGTAAGAAGTAGAAAGTACAGGTATTTGTGTTCAACATGTAAGAAGTAGAAAGTACAGGTATTTGGGTTCAACATGTAAGAAGTAGAAAGTACAGGTATTTGAGTTCAACATGTAAGAAGTAGAAAGTACAGGTATTTGTGTTCAACATGTAGAAGTAGAAAGTACAGGTATTTGTGTTCAACATGTAAGAAGTAGAAAGTACAGGTATTTGTGTTCAACATGTGAGAAGTAGAAGTACAGGTATTTGTGTTCAACATGTAAGAAGTAGAAAGTACAGGTATTTGGGTTCAACATGTGAGAAGTAGAAAGTACAGGTATTTGAGTTCAACATGTGAGAAGTAGAAAGTACAGGTATTTGTGTTCAACATGTAAGAAGTAGAAAGTACAGGTATTTGGGTTCAAAATGTAAGAAGTAGAAAGTACAGGTATTTGTGTTCAACATGTGAGAAGTAGAAAGTACAGGTATTTGAGTTCAACATGTGAGAAGTAGAAAGTTCAGGTATTTGAGTTCAACATGTAAGAAGTAGAAAGTACAGGTATTTGGGTTCAACATGTGAGAAGTAGAAAGTACAGGTATTTGTGTTCAACATGTGAGAAGTAGAAAGTACAGGTATTTGAGTTCAACATGTGAGAAGTAGAAAGTACAGGTATTTGGGTTCAACATGTAAGAAGTAGAAAGTACAGGTATTTGGGTTCAACATGTGAGAAGTAGAAAGTACAGGTATTTGAGTTCAACATGTGAGAAGTAGAAAGTACAGGTATTTGGGTTCAACATGTGAGAAGTAGAAAGTACAGGTATTTGGGTTCAACATGTAAGAAGTAGAAAGTACAGGTATTTGAGTTCAACATGTAAGAAGTAGAAAGTACAGGTATTTGTGTTCAACATGTGAGAAGTAGAAAGTACAGGTATTTGTGTTCAACATGTTAGAAGTAGAAAGTACAGGTATTTGTGTTCAACATGTGAGAAGTAGAAAGTATAGGTATTTGTGTTCAACATGTGAGAAGTAGAAAGTACAGCTATTTGAGTTCAACATGTAAGAAGTAGAAAGTACAGGTATTTGAGTTCAACATGTGAGAAGTAGAAAGTACAGCTATTTGAGTTCAACATGTGAGAAGTAGAAAGTACAGGTATTTGAGTTCAACATGTAAGAAGTAGAAAGTACAGGTATTTGAGTTCAACATGTAAGAAGTAGAAAGTACAGGTATTTGTGTTCAACATGTGAGAAGTAGAAAGTACAGGTATTTGTGTTCAACATGTAAGAAGTAGAAAGTACAGGTATTTGAGTTCAACATGTGAGAAGTAGAAAGTACAGGTATTTGAGTTCAACATGTAAGAAGTAGAAAGTACAGGTATTTGAGTTCAACATGTAAGAAGTAGAAAGTACAGGTATTTGTGTTCAACATGTGAGAAGTAGAAAGTACAGGTATTTGTGTTCAACATGTAAGAAGTAGAAAGTACAGCTATTTGAGTTCAACATGTGAGAAGTAGAAAGTACAGGTATTTGAGTTCAACATGTAAGAAGTAGAAAGTACAGGTATTTGAGTTCAACATGTAAGAAGTAGAAAGTACAGGTATTTGTGTTCAAC